GCGTCAGCTGTCAGGTTCCTCCGCTGCATCAGGAGGTTGCAGTAGCGCCGGGCATCTGGGGCGCTGGTCTTCGGGAAGTCCACGTGCTGCCGGTGGAATTTCTCGTGGCGCGTCTCCCTCCGGCCCAGAGCCAGACAGGCGGGCAGCAAAACCAGCAGCAGCAGCAACAACGCTGGGTGGAGTCCCTTCAGGGCCATGGCTATCTGGGGGGGAAAGCACGGGCAGAGGTGGAGATCTAGTGGGTGAGAGCAGGGTGGGCTGGGAGCCAGGACTCCTGGGTTCTCTCCCCAGCTCTGCGAGTAGAGTCGGGGCTGGTGGGTTAGATTGGGGGGGATTCATGGATTGTATGCCCGACTTGGGGAGGGGAGGGGAGAGGGGTCTACTGGTTAGAGCAGGGGGAGCTGGGAGCCAGGACTCCTGGGTTTTCTCCTTAGCTCAGGGAAGGGAGTGAGATCTAGTCAGATTGTAGGGCAAGGCAGGGAGTCAGAGCCCTGGATGTGGGGCGACTGCTCTCTTTCACCCGTAGTTTCCTCAGGTATAAAATGGAGCTAAACCTATTGATCCTGGCTGGGGATCTGCCCCCACTGGTTTTAAACTTCAACTCATGCAGCTGTTTCTTCTCCACACAGTGAATATTACGTGACGGGCCTTTTGGATCCGTGTTTCACTCTTTAGACCTGCTCTGTGTTACTATATTTAGCGCATTCCCTATAGATCAACTACAATACGCTGCTCCCTGAGCTTTCTTGCCTAAATACACCGGTCATCTCAGGCCCCGATCTTCAACTCACCCCAGTCCTGGTGCCTCGGTTTCCCTCGGAGTATGGATCCAGCTGCCTGCAAAATGTCTGAGGCTCCGTACTTTCTGGGCGGATGTTATATACCGAGCTCGGCTGGAGAGAAAGACACAGCGGGGCGGCTGCACTCAGAGAAATATCCTACTGGCCAGCGTTGCACAATCCGTGACCCTGGGAAACACTGAGGCACCAGTCCAGGGGGAAGCTGAATAAACAACGCTGCTAATGAGGGTCAAATTCTTCTCTCTGTTACGCTGGAATCTGGCTTTGGCGCCGCATGAGGGTCTCCTACTGCAGCCACCTCTGGGGTGGAGCCTGGAAAATGGGGAATAGCTGCCCAGGTCAGGGCTGGAGGTGAAGGGATCCTCTTGGCAACATGGCAGGAATTTGGGGAGGGGTAATGTAGTGCCCTGATCTGGGAGCTAGCCAGGACACCAGGGTTCATCTTTTGGTGTACGAGATTTAGGCTGAACTTTGCCTAGTGGATTTGGGAACCCAGATCTCATTCATTTTCATGGGAACTGGGGCTCCGAATCCCTGTAGCAGCTTTGGAAATAGCCTGAATCACCGTTCCTCAGTTTCTCCACTGGCCAAATCCCGTGGCTAGGAGACACTCAGCTTGAATGGCTGCAAGCAGAGATGAAGGCATACCAAAAACGCAGCACAGCACCCCCTGACACCTCCCAGGGGTCAGCGCCGATTGTATGGGGAGAGCGCCCCCTACTGAGTCACTCGCACCATATCGTCCAATATTTGGGCATCCCATCCTGACACCAACCCAGCCCACACCTGGCCTGTCGTAAAAACCAACCCAGCAGAGGAGAGATCGTCAGCCCGCTCTGAACCCCTGGGAAAAGTTCGCAGGGAAGAAATGTTTGGAAACATTGCTATTTGCGAGGCCTCTGGCAACATGGGCTTGTCCCCCGGCCAAGTGAGGCCCCACGGGGAAATCAGTGTCCTGAGAAAGCGGAGATAATTAATTCCAAACTTCCCAGAGCTGGGACCCGCTTTCTGCGGAGAATCCTGGGAAACGGGCTTTGCATGTCTCCAAGAAACACAGTCCAGCCGCCAGTGGGGCAATCAATGGTGGGGGCATAGCAGATCTCTGGGTCTGGCGGAGCTGGTCGGTGTGGGGGCGTGGGTCCCACGTGGGAGGTGAAGGGATCTGGGCTGGGGCCGGCCCAGCGGAACAGAACAGCTGTGCCTAGAGAATGGAGGGGGACAACGGGTCTCCAGCAGCTGAGCCCTCGCTGGCCACGTGGCAGAGCTGTGCCCAACTGGGGCTTTGTCTGGTTGCTTATAACAGGGCTACATGTTCCCCTGAGTCCCCGAGCTAGCCGCGGGCAGAGGAGTGGCGAAGGGGGGAATCAGTGCGCGAGAGAAGAGCAGGGGTTAGCTCCAGTGCCATGAGGCTGTATTGGCACAGTGAGGTGCTGTGTAGTTAATGCTGCTCAGGAGTCTGTCCGAGACGGGTACGGGGCCCCAAGGGAGGGATCAGGGCAGTACCAGGATGGTGGGACAGCTTCTGAAAAAAGGGCCAGGCCGGCGGTCCCGAGTGTCCTGGCACCGCATGAGCACTGGTAGGGATACATGCTGTGTTTGGGGGCACTGATCAGTAGGGAGCACTCTCCCTGGCAGTCAGTGCTGACCCCAGTACTCCAGCATGGCATTAGGGGGTGCTGTGCTGTAGGGATTGGGGCAGGGGGCTCAGTAGGGGGCGCTCTCCCCTGCCAGTCAGTGCTGACCCCAGTGCAGTTTTAGGGACCTGTGCTGCAGGGAGCGGGGAGGGGGGATCATTAGGGGGTGCTCTCTCCTGGCAGTCAGTGCTGGCCCCAATGCCTCAGTGTTACACTAGGGGGCGCTGTGCTGCAGGGAGCGGGGTGGGGGCTCAATAGGGGGCACTCTCCCCTGGCAGTCAGTTCTGGCCCCAATGCTCCAGCGTGGGACTAGGGGGCGCTGTGCTGCAGGAAGTGGGGCGGGGCCTCAGTAGGGGGCACTCTCCCCTGACAGCCAGCGCTGGCCCCAATGCACTAGGGGGCACTGTGCTGCAGGGAGTGGGGTGGTGGGCTCAGTAGGGTGCTCTTCCCGCTCACGTTCACTGCTGGCGCTACTGACCAGGTCCACTTGCCATCCCGTCCACACTAACCGGGCGGCATGTCCCTCTGTGGCTCGTGCCAGTTCCCGGGGGGGGGGGGCACGATTCCCCCCGGTGCCTCGTATGATTCCTCGTCCTTTGTCTCCCACTTCGCTGTGACTTGGCTATTGCGGGTGGGTTCGCTTCTGCCTGGCTCGTCGGACTGGGGTACCAGCCGCATGTGCATCCGCAATGCAGAATTGCTTTAGGGTGTGGTGGTACCCAGCATGGGAAGTGATGGGGGGGCAGTGGGTTCAGAAGGGGACTTGCAGGAGCAGGAGGGTGTTGAAATGGGGGGAATGTGGCAGAGAACCACAGGAGAAGGGCTTGGGGGGTGGGTGAGGGACTCCAGGGCGGGGGTGGGGGGAACCGAGTCTGGTGTCTCAGCAACTTCGTATCTTCAATTAAATCCATGAAATCTCCAAGGGTTTCCTCTGCCCGTGGCCCAGAGTCGAGTGTGCACAGCGGGGCAGCGCCCGGCAGGAGAGGGTGAATGACCTAGGAGCCCTGGCTCTGTAGCTCTGGGGTTAACGCTCAGGGCTGCTAAACCAGGGGTTGGAAATTCAGCTCTCCTAGGAGCTTTGTGTCGCCCTTCAGTGAATTTGTCTAGTCCATGTTGCCCCCCACCCAGAACTGGCACCATCAGGGCCATGCCCCTGCCCTTGGCAACTGCGGGGCACCACGCTTTGCAGATACAGAGCATGTGACATTGCAGATCACGCTTCCAGAGGCTCCCTCTGTAGCCGGCCTCCCCCCTGGGAGAGGGAAATATGGGCTGAGCTGTTGAGGGGGGAGAAGCAGCTCCCCAGCCTTCAAAGGGCGATCTCAAGCCAATCCCCCGCTGTGGGGCTGGATTGTAGCTGGTGTCCCCTGAAGGGGAAAGTCCCGTGCACCATTCCCCGCCCCCCTGAGCCAATCACCGCCCTGGGGCCAGATTGGAGCCAGCCCTCCCTAGAGGGGAAAGGCCCTGTGCGCCATTCCCCGCCCCCCTGAGCCAGCCGGTGTCCCCTGATCTGGGGCTGGATTGGAGCCAGCGCCCCCTAGAGGGGAAAGACCCTGCATCCCATTCCCTGCCAGCCAGGCCCCTGGCCTGTGGCCAGATCAGAGGTTGGGCCCCCTAGATAACCCCACGACAATCCAGTCGTGCTCTCTGAAGGACATTGGGGCAGCTGTTCACCCCCACGCCAAGTGCCCCACAAACATGCGCCCGGCCGTTCTGCGTTGGCAGCATTGTATTAAGGGTGGCAGACAGAGAATCGAACTCCCCAACAGCATTGCTCCACCCCACTGCAACCCCCCTTCTGCTTCCCCCTTCAGCTCCGGTCACAGCCTCACCTTATACCCACACAGGAGACGTCAGAGCCAGGGACAAGACCCCGAGTGCCTCCTGGTTTTACCCTAGCTCCGGCCTAGCACATTTCACTGCCTGGGGAGCTCTGGAGGATGGGGGGGACGACAGGAACAGGAGTTAACCTCTCCCACGGTGCCCTCAGAGCCCCTCATTTCTACCCGGCCCAGCAGCCCTCCTCCCATCTTAGCCCTGTGATGTCTGGCCATGCGAAGCTCAGCTGGTTTCCACATCCCCCAGTAACGGGGCCAGATCCAGTCATACAGGTTTAGACAAATCCAAGGGGTTTGTGGGAATTTTGGTCAGATTCAGGGGGCTAAAAGTGGACCCCCCAATGAAATGGTTCTGAGGTTTCAGAGCCGCTCGGCCTCTTCTGCTCCTGGTGTGCCCGGGGCAGCCCCAGCCCAAGTCCAGGCCAGTTGTGTTTGGATCCTGCCCAGCGAGGCAGCCGCTGGGCTCAGGCTGAGGGTCTCAGTGCCAGCCGGGGGGCTGGGCACCCGGATTTTCACTTGTGTGGATAGGAACTGGGCACCCAGCATGGGAAATCCCCCCGCAGGCCCCAGCTGCCGGCCTGTGGGATAAGGGGAGGCACTGAAAGTCCCTATGGAGACTCATGGCGGGCGTTGCCCAGGAGGCGCAGGTAGGGGGACAGGAAGCCCCCAGAAACAAAGGGCTGCCCAGGATCAAAGCGGGGGTGGGGGGCAGAAGGGGGATCCCCTGCTCATGGCAGGTACGTAGGCTCTAAGTGCACAGGCAGCCCCTGGACACAGGCCACACGGATCTTGGTGTTGCCAGTTGCAGCCCTGTATCTACAGTGCCTCGGGCGGGAGCGGGGCAGCGCCCGGCACGTGGTGACGTTGAAGGACTCCAGGCTGTCGTAGAGGTTGAGGCTAACGTGTGTCCCTCCACGGGCACAGATGGCCTGGAGCTTGCCAGCAGGGGCGTGGATGAAGGTGTTGCGGCGTTTGCAGAAGACGCGGGTCAGGCCACGGCGCTGCATCAGGAGGTTGCAGTAAAGCCGGTCGTTGGCAGCACTGGTCTTGGGGCTGTCGAAGTGTCGGGTCACAAACTGCTGGTAGGTGGCTCCTTCGCTGAGCTGAGCCAGGCAGATGGCCAGCAGGACCAGGGTCAGGAAGAGCAAGGGGCAGGGTCCCCTCAGGGCCATGGCTGTGTCTGTCACTGGATCGACCTGCAGTGGGGCGAGGGGGGAGATGGATGGGGATTTGCCTCCTCCATGGAACCTCCTGGCAGGGCCTGCGGGGTGGGGTGGGGAGGGCGGCCAGAGCGCCGGGGGGAGGGCGGCGAGCCCGGCTGTGGCCCCGCTCTCCCCGGCGGCCGGAGCGCCGCGCCGCCCCCCTCCAGGTGCCGCCCCAAGCACCAGCTTGGTGGGCTGGTGCCTGGAGCCGGCCCTGCCTCCTGGGCCCAAACCCCTCCCCCTGCCAGTCCATTCTACCCCTAAAGCCTCATTAACCCGACCGAGATCAGGACCCGTTGTGCCAGGTGCTGCACAGATCCAGAGAGAAACTCTTACAGTCTAAATGGGCAAAGCAGACCGAGAAAGGGTTGTTCTTTCCATGTTACAGAGGGGGAAACCGAGGCACAGAGTGGTTAAGGTTCAGCTTTTCAGCTCCCATTTGGTGGCTTGGGTCCCAGGAGTGTACACGAGGGTTTGGCCTCCGGACCCCTGTAGGGGTTTGAAAATCCTATCCTAAGGCACAGAGAATGAAACTGAGGTCCCCTAAACCCCAGTGGGGAGCCTTGGCCACAGCCCCAGCCTGCCACTAACTTTCTGCTTTACCTGTTTGTCCACAATGCATCCTTTCGTCCGCACTCCCAGCTCTCCCCCTTCTGCGACCCTAGACCCTGCTCCTCTCCCAGAGTGGGGAGAGAACCCAGGAGTCCTGGCTCCCAGCCTCCCTGCTGTAACCCACTAGACCCCACTGCCCCCGCAGAGCCAGGAGAAAACCCAGGAGTCCTGGCTCCCAGCCTCCCTGCTGTAACCCACTTGACCCCACTGCCCCCGCTGAGCCAGGAGAGAACCCAGGAGTGCTGACTCCAGATCTCACATGCTCTTCCTTTTACCCTCTTGCCAAGATTGTGATCTCAGCTGCCTGTGGGTCAATCCAGAGTCACCCCCTGAGTGCAATGGGGTCAGGGCCAGATTCTGCACCCAGCCCCCTGGGGTCAACCTGCAGTGCCCCTCCCTCGGAATTTCCCCCCTGGCTGTGTCTGTTCTCAGCTCACCCAACTCCTGGGGCTCCGGTCAGAGATGGATCCAGCTTCCAGCAGAGCTGAGAGTCTCTGAGTTTCCTTCCCCTTTGGGTGTCATTATATAGAGCCCGGCCAGGCAGCTGGGATTGGAGTGGGGCAGCTCCTCCCACCAAGGACCCCAGAGATGGTGGGTGGGGCAGTGAGTTAGGGGGGAAGCAGGCACAGGGAAGGGTCCTGAGACACTGTGAACCCCACAGCCCCATTGCCTGGTGCATCTGCCCCTGTTATCCTCAGCCCAACGGTATCCCCAAGCTACGGAGAGAACTCAGGAGTCCTGACTCCCATCCCCCCTGTTCTAACCCACTAGCCCCCACTCCCCTCCCCGAGCCAAGTTAGAACCCAGGATTCCTGGCTCCCAGTCTCTCTAACCACACAGTCCTGGTGCCCTGTTACAGGTTTTGCCCCTTATTGGGTGCCCTGGATACCCCATAACCCAACCCCCAGCCCCAGCCAGTCCCTCTGCGGGTTCCCTGCCTAGGTCCCTGGGTAGGATTGCCAACTTTCTAATTGCACAAAACCGAACACTCTGCCCAACCCCCTGCCCTGGCCCTTCCCTAAGGCCCCACCCCCCACTCCCGCCATCCCCACTCCCTCCATCGCTCACTCTCCCCCACCCTCACTCACTTTCACCAGGCTGGGGCAGGGGGTTGGGGTGCAGGGGGAGCATGAGGGCTCTGGCTGGGGGTGAGGTCTCTGGGTGGGGCCAGAAATGAGGGGTTCAGGGTGCAGGGGGGAGGAGCAGGGGGGGCTGGGAGCCAGGACTCCTGGGTTTTCTCCTGGCTCTGCGGGAGCAGTGGGGTCTAGTGGGTTACAGCAGGGAGGCTGGGAGCCAGGACTCCTAGGTTCTCTCCCCACTCTGGGAGAGGAGCAGGGTCTAGGGTTGCAGGGCAGGGCTAGGGCAGGAGGTTGGGATGCAGGGGGGGTGATGGCTCCGGCTGGGGTTGTGGGCTCTGGGGTGGGGCCGGGGATGAGGGGTTCAGGGTGCAGGAGGGAGCTCTGGGTTGGGGCAGGGGGTTGGCATGCAAGGGAGGTGAGGGCTCCGGTTGGGGGTGTGGGCTGTGGGTGGAGCCAGGGTTGAGGAGTGGGGGAGCCGGGGTACAGGCTCTAGGAGAGAGTTTGGGTATGGGAGGGGACTCCGGGCAGGGGGTGGGGTCCGGGGTCCCAGCGGCACTTACCACGGCTCCCAGGAAGCAGCCGCCAGGTCTCTGTGGCCCCTAGGCGCAGGGAGGCTCCGTCTGCATGCTGCTCTCGCACCTGCAGGCGCTGCCCCCTCAGCTCCCACTGGTCATAGTTCCTGGCCAATGGGAGCTGCAGAGCCGGCACGCGGGGCGGGGGTAGCACAGGGAGCCTCCCTGTGCCTAGGGGCTGCAGGGACCTGGTGGGCACTTCCTGGAGCTGCGTGGAGCCAGGGCATGCAGGGAGCCTGGCACCTGCCTTAGGCCCGGGCCCCTGCTTTGCCACTGACTGTACTTGTCAGGGCCGGCTCCAGGCACCAGCCCAGCAAGCAGGTGTTTGGGGTGGCCAAAGGAGAGGGGCGGCACGTCCGGCTCTTTGGCGGCAATTCCGTGGCTGGTCCCTCACTCTCTCTCGGAGCGAAGGACCAGCCGCCGAATTGTCGCCAAAGACTAAAACAAGGGCGGTAGAGCTGATCGTCATCACGGCTTTCCCCCCCACGCCCCCGCTTCTGCTTGGGGTGGCAAAAACCCTGGAGCCAGCCCTGGTACTTGTAACAGCCCGGTCCACCAGGGTTCCTTTTCGATGGGGTGTTCCAGTCGAAAACAGGACGCCTGGCAATCCCAGCCCTGGGCATCGCAAGGGTCAGCGACCCAGACAGGGGAGGGGCAGGCCTGGCTGCTGGAAATGTCCGTGCCCAGCAGAGCCAGTGGGAGCCAGGGCCTGACCCCCAGCACCACATGAGCCCCAGGGCCTGGGGAAAGGGTGAGGGCTGGATGGGACATGGAGGGGGCAGGGACTGGCTCCCGGCACCAGCCTGGTCTTGGGGCTTGGAGTCGTCTCTCCTGGGTCTGTGTCCTGCCCACCGCTGATGGGGGTTGGGAGTCAGGACTCCTGGGTTCTATCCCGGCCCTGGGTGGGCAGTGGGGTCTAGTGTGTGTTTGGGAGGTTATGAGACAATGTCCCTTTGGGGTCACCTGCTCATCGCCCTCTGTGCCGGCACGGCGGCTGCCAGCCCTGCTGCAGTGAAGGTTAAGACCAGCTCCCCATTTAAAGCTCAACTCTCCTAAGTGCTCTAAAATCCACATGGTTACTTGGCTTGCCAGGAAATTTGGTGTGAGCCCTGGGGAGATGGGGAAGCTGGGGTGACTGACCCAAACTTAGGGTCATTTGAGGAAGGGGTTCCCCACCCCTGAACAAAACAGCCTGGCTTAAGGTGCCTGGATTGTCCAACTTTGTGCAGCGCTGAGGCTCAAACCCAGGCCATGACCGTCACCCCAGTGTCCCAGGCCCCCCGACAGGGCAGGCCACACACTAGCCCTTTGGGGGGACAAAACTGAGAATGGTACGAGACAGAGAGTTTGGCTCTCATGACAGGCAACAAACACACCTAATGCTCATGCCCCAAACGGATAACACAGAATGTGCAGAAAGGGCTGAGCTCACCAGCCCTGCCACACTGCACCGGGTGGGGCTCCAGGGGGATTGTTGTGGCCACGGCCTGGCTGGCTGGGCTCACGGGGAACCGGGGCAGGCTGCGCTGGGCTGGCTGGGCCCAAGGGGATCCGGGCCCATGAGGGATCCCTCTCCACTGGTACCAGCTATAGGGGTCCCGCCAGGCCCCTCTGCGCCGGCTTCTGTCCCATTCACCCTGTAGTGTCTCACGGTGCTCACAGGCTCTGGTATTTGACACCCCCCAGTCCTGGGGCTGGCCCAGATTTGGCCCAACAGGGCTGCCCACGACCCTGTCAGCCTGGAGCGGCCCCCGCCCAATCTGTACTGCCCGGTCCCGCTGGCTCACTGTGTGTCGGTTGGTGGTTGGGCCGTTGCTGGATCCCTCCCTGTGGTCTTGGGCAGGCTGCTCTCCCCGGGACTGGGGGCAAAACCCTGCACATACAGAGGAAGTTTCAAAACCTGGGATGGGGCAATGGGCTAACGGGTGGTGACTCCACAGGCTGGTGGGATGTGCCAATGGCTGCGCGGTCCCCGCTGTTAACCGCAGAGCCCTGCTTCCACGTGGAGTGTCGTTGTGGTGTGGGGAGCAGGGCAGAGGAGAGAATGATGCCAGGTTAACAACGTGATGCAGTGGCAGAAAAGGCTAGTGTCAGCCTGGGGTGGATTACCAGGAGGGTCATATGCAAGACACGGGGGAATTGTCCTGCTCTACTCGACATTGGTGAGGTCCTTCTTGGAGTTCTGTGCCCAGTTCTGTGCGCCAAACTTTAGGAAAGATGTGGACAAACTGGAGAGAATCCAGTGGAGAGCAACACAAACTGTCAAAGGGTTAGAAAACCTGCCCTGTGAGGAAAGGTTAAAAACTGGGCAGGTTTAGTCTTGAGAAAAGAAGAGTGAGGGGGGACCCGATAACAGCTTTCAAATATGTTAAAGGCTGTTCTGAAGAGGACAGAGATCCATTATTCTCCATGTCCACTGAGGACAGGACAAGAAGTAATGGGCTGAGTCTGCAGCCAGGGAGATGTAGGTTGGATATTAGGGAAAAGTTTCGAACACTCATGTTAGGATATAGATATTCAGGCTTGTCTGTAAAGGCCTATACTTTAAGAATGTAGGTATATGTTTATCACTTAGCTAGTTATAGAGGTATAGAAGAAAGAATCAAAATCACTGTCTGTCTGTGAAAGGGCCTTCTCGTACTGTGACAGTCTGAGGCCCTGTTCTTAGGCTAAAGCCTTTGGCTAAGCTGCAGGGGCAGCCATAAAC